GGGGGGGGGGGGGGGGGGACTGTCCTCCGCCCATCTTTCTTCTTTCACTTTCCTATGCCTCTCCATCTCTCCTATGCTCTCTTTTCATCTATATTCCTGCAGAGTTCAGTTGTGGCTGCGCTGACACGGGAGGTCAAGGACAGAAAGGATAGCAGGATTTAAATGAAAGTCACAGGAAGTGTGCCAGATTTTATCACCCAATGGGGAACAGCGGGCCATGCGGTGAGGAGCTGAGTTAAGAAAAAGGTCTGAACGCCAGGTGCAGAGGGATGTTTATGAAAGAGGACAAGCTTTAAGTGTCAGACCCAGAGGCATCATTTTGAAGAATCCCCCACTCATGTTTACCACTTCCTCTAAAGCACCCTGCCACACTCTCACTTAAGCACAAGCTGTCTGTCTCTTTCAGCCTCCCACTTCCTGATAACTCCCAAAGCGGGACAACACCCTCCTTTACACACACACACACACACACACACACACGCCACCCTGTAAGTTGCGGTTTCCCTGTAGGAAATCAGCAATCTTCTGCCATTACCCCACCAGCATTTACTCCTCCTCCTGCCTCCCTCCTCCCTTCGGTTTCTTTAAACAAAGCATCTCTCCCTCATGAGCATCATTAGACAGAGAGGAGACAATTGCTGGTAGGCCAGAAGGAAGAAAGCACCACACAGACTGTGGCAAAAGGCCAGAGGAAAACACAAAATAGCTAATTAGTCTGAAGCGGTGGTCTGGTGTCATGGCATCAGAGAGGTCTATAGCTGTGTGTAGCTATGATAGGCATGCTACTCTGTGGTGTATTACTGGAAGCACTTGCTCTATATGTGTATGAGTATTGGAAATCTCTGCATTTTGTAAAGTAAAGTAAAGTAAAATGTCTTAAAGTGTACTTCCCCAAAGCAAAAATGTTGAGGAAATTCTAAGTAGATGACCATGACATGTTATATAAGAGCTTTTGTGCCAGGTAAGTAATTAATTCGCCCCTATTTCTTACACATTTTCCTTAATGCTGTGAGAATTTATTAGCAGCTAAGAGAAAAATCTCAAATGGAGGGAAAATCACCAAAGCACTGAGAAAAAAAAACAAAAAAAAACAATTTACACAGCACTCCCAGCTTTTCAAAACCTCTCTCCTTCTCCCTCTCACACACATAAACACATAGGCACAAACACATACACCTCGAAACAAAGGTGCCATTTTACTCAGGAAGGGTCAGCAGTTCTCTCCATCAGACAGGGGCTTGTTCTTGGTCAGAGGCTGCTGCCCAATCTCAGGCCACCCTCCCCTGGCTCCACCGGCCCCCTCAGGCCCCCCTCTGGCCCCCACCACCCCGGAGACAAGCTCCCCATTGTTCCTGCACAACTAATAAATGACAGTTCTCCTGTTCAGACAAACTTTAGAGCCCATTCTAAAGACACACACACTGCTCTATATGAAAGGATACACAGCAGTTTTTTTACAGCCTGATATTTCTCATGGAGCTCATTAAAAGGTTATCTGACACTAATGAATGAAGGATGTTTTTTCCTGCGATTTGAATGTTGTGCCCCGCAGACCTGATGAGGTAATGCTGAGGGCACATTTGCTACAAAAACAGGGGTGTAATTAATGCGCGATAAATGCTCCTATCGCTTTCCATTTCCCTTCGGTCGTCGAAAAACGGTCATGACATCGAGACGCAGTTCACCAAGAGGTCACACCGCTCAGTCAGCCTTGTCACCTGTGCGCAATGTCACACACATGGACGCATGCACGCAGTAAGATACTGAGCTCAATCAAGGTCAGGGACTTGAGTTTAGACATGATAAATCACCACTCAACTTAAGCTCATAAACACACCATTAACACGCTCAACCACAGCAATTCGATCTGTTTACCTTAACCACTGTGCTGGGGACTATTGCTCTCTGGCAGGCCTGTATTAGCATGCCTGGGGGGCCTGATACACATGTCTATCACAGGGGCCCAGCCAGCTCCGGGCCCCTAAGTTTCTCAGTTGTGCTGCTTCGGCGTTGTCTCAACTCTGCATGAGGTAATTTTCCAGCACTTTGGGCTCACTTCCATACAGACACTTAGGTTTTTAACTTCAAGGAGCAAACTATAGAGCTCTTTAGAATCACTGTACAACACCACCATAAGCGTGGAAAGATTGTATGTCTGTTTAGTCTGAAGTGTGCGTTACCTGACTTGTCCAGGTAGCATTTTAAAGGTAATGGAAACTGTTGTTAATTATCTAGCAGCTTGTGGAAAACTGCGAAAACTGAAGGTGCAAGGAGCTCAGAAATGAGTTCATTATGTAACAAGTATAAAACAGAAGACAATATCTGAACCCAAAGACATGCAAGTGATGAGAAAGTTCCTAGGAAATGTTGAGTGGAGTAAATACTGGGTTGTTAAGTGAGTCTGACCCTGGTGTGTATATGGCTCTCTACTGCGGTTCACCACAAGCATATCATATGACAGCTCAGCCAGCACACTCAGCTCTGTGAGAAAGCAAATTCCTGCTTTGCTATTCTCAGCCACAGACCAAGACATAAACAAAAGTATCCAAAGAAGCACATCAATTGAAATACTGCTTTGATGTCTAACGGATATTCTGAGCGAGAGATGCGGGGTGTATGAGAGTGGGCGTGCACGGGTGTATCTGTGTTTATATGGCGCTTACACAGCACAGGGGTGATGTTGGCAGTGTGCAGGACAGATGCTGGGCGAGCGGGGGTCACGTTAACACACATGCTCCCACTCCGCCGTTCAAACGACAAAAGGAGGAGGAGGAAGAAGAGGCAGAAGTTGTGAGAGGAGGAGTAAAAAAAAAAAAAAAAAGCCCCAGTGTTTAGTCAAGGCCTGCTCACTGACACAAAGTCTGTCTTTGTCTGCCTCCCAGGGTGCCAGATAAAGGAATTCTTGTGTGTCGGGGGCTCTGACCGAGTTTATTTGACACTTCAGCTCCTTTTGTGAAGCAAGTGTCCCACCGTCAATGCTGGCCATGAGAGTCACTTGGCATTAGACAGAGGGTCCCTCTTCAGTGGAGAAAGGGGGTCTTGTTTGGAGAAGATTTTTAATGGAGGGGGTGTGTGGGGGTAAGGGGTGCTGAGTTGGAAGGGAGGGGAGGCTACTTGGTCTGGGCTCTGCGCTGTATACAGACATATAGTGGGGCTCTGTCCCCTGCCCAAACAATAGGTGGAATTCTTCATTGCTAAGGAAGTGGACTTTGAGATTGAGGACTGAGAGTTGAGGGAAGAGGAAGGTGGAAGCTTCATCAGATAAACTTGAACATGAACACGCGCACCAACTATGAATGCAATGGCATTATGTCACGGTAAAGATGTGAAATTCCGACATGCTGAACCGGTACAAACACTTCCTGACCGTGCAGGGTTCACCACAGAGTGAGATCACATGCACCTGTAGGTTCCAACTCCAAAGAAGCATCTCAACATCATGCAGATCTTTCTACTACCCACAGCCCCTAGTGGATCTCTTATACATGCCATGTGTCAGGTAGGTAGCACCTCACATGGCAGCCAACCCACCACCCAGCCCCCCCGCCCCCCTGTGGCCACAGTTATGAAGACTGATTTACTCTCACCTGAATGGAGTTACTGTAGGAGGGGACCACATGTCGGTCACTGTATTCACACTGTTCTTTTGTTTTTGCTGCACCTGGTCTTTCACAACTTATGACAGGACGTGGCTCTGTGGGTCTGGGTCTGTGGACACCTGGCACTGCAGGTGTATGGCAACGTCCGGGTGAGGAAAGGTCATAATGGTGTACATTTATTTTTTTAAATGAGGAGGACGGAGGTAGATTGCGGATGTCAGGCAGGAAACAAAAGTGTTTTAAAAACTAAAAAATCAACCTGAGTCAGTTTGGAGGGTGAGAGATGCGCGCGTAATGAACCCCAGATCGTAACGGAGCAGTGTGTGAACCGAACAGGTGAACCTACATAATGTGGAGCAGATCAGGGGTTTGATGAGGCTTTTTTTTGGGGATCAAACACGCCCCCCTCGGTGGACACAGATTTGACACAACTTGATAATAGTTGTCCTAAGGAATCCCACGGGAGTGCAGTTTGATTGTTAAGTGTAATTTGGTAGTGAAGATGTAGGCCAAATGGGCGTGTAGGGAGATAACAACAGAACCTTTGGTCAAAACAGCCATTGTTGAACTTTTTTTAGATTTATTTTTGTGAGTTATTTCCTAATTGGGACCCCCCTGGAACATCCCAGAACGCACTAGGCTATGCTGGTCGTTTATACAACTTAAAAATAAATAAATGATTTATGTTTTAGCTCATAACATTTCTCTGACAGCCTCTTTTCTTACATACCTGCTGGATGAGGAGATGCGTACTGTCATTATCCAGAATTGCTGGACATCTGCTGAGCATCGCTTCCAAAAATATATCCCAGGATATCCCATTCCTTTCGACAAAATCCAACACAATAAATATCGATTCCCAAAAACCACATCATGGTACTGGCCATCTATGACACCGGCCCACACGCGTGAAGTATCCCAAGAGACTCGTCTGTCCGCCAAACGGCTTGTCCAGCAAAGGGCAGCAGGAGTAATGGACACCCCTTATTCCGTGTAAGAGACAGTATTTCCTTATATCCTACAGGACGATTCACAGCTGGAGTGTTGAATCCATCAGCTGCTGCCATCATCAAGTTTGACCAATAATAATGATAATACATATAATAATAATAATAACTCCTCCACGTGTGTCAGTACTGTAACAGCAGTATTTAATCCTCTGAATGCGTCCAAAGAATCCTTGCGCGAACTGGTGCCCTGGCAAATCAAGGCAGATCGATCAGTGTGATTATTTCCAATAAGCAATAAAAAGAAGCTACTTCCTCCTCAAGGTCCAGTGCAGTGATGGTCTCTGTTGGAGCTCCGACCAGCGCCTCTGTCGCTGCTACGATGCACACCCGTGAAGAGCCTGAGCCGCACTGAGCCATAGTTGGAGCACAGCAGCGCAGCACATGCTGCTGTCGGCCAACGTAGGCGCGCAAAGCATGATGGTACATGGAGTTTATTGTTGTTGCTGCCAAATGTTTGAAAAGAAGAGCATAATATCAGACTTTAAACCTTTAAAAATAGCAAAAGAGAGGGGAAAAAATTGTTTTTGGAATGATTTTATAACATAGTAGTGGCAGTTAAGTAAAATTGTAAGTATGATATAATGAAGCACTTTACACTGGAAGGTAAAACGTGTTTGCATGTGAATGTAGATTTTCAATTACATTAAATAAACGCATGTTAATATAAAAAGTGCTACTGACATAACCAATGGTGGTTATTATAATGATTACTTTTATTATTATTAACTGTAACAGTTGAGTAAGGTATTATGTCATGAATTTAGGGTGTTACAATGGTTGCAGTCACTCATCATGTGTCAGTTTGATGCCTGGTTGCGTGTGAGCCCTGTGCAGCAGTGTGAGTGAGTAATAATGATCATCTGTAGGCTGTGCACAGATACAGGGATGTCGGTGCCTTCAATCACCTTCCCATGAATGAATCTCTTGTCTTTCTCACCTCACTTTCATGTCCTAACCACCTCCAGGCTTGCTTGTATTTCTGGGATCATAGCTTCCCTTAAACATCAAAACAAGGACTGGATTCCTGGGAGCGGGCATTCAGCCTTGAAGACTAAAATAAGAACATAATTGAACTTACAGTATACTGAGACCAGTTGTATAAAACTTAAGTTAAATTTGACTCATTATATGTGTGTCAGATCAAAACTCAGTGTGATATTTGTCATTTGACAGTTTTAAGAGATAATTTGAATTACGTATGCGACAATATTGATTTCATTTTAAATTGATAAAACCTTTGTGAATATACTATCCAAATTATGGCATTCACTTATAGATTATGATGGAAAGTTATCAAAAAGAAGACATCATGTGGTAAAGAGGGTAAACTCTGACTTAAAACAAGTAATCCTCATCTAGAATGTTTTTATGAAGCCCAATCTTCCCCATATAACTTACAACAAACTACATTTTATCATACTATGTAGGAATTTTGATCTTTTAAGTTTCTGCCATACAATATTATGTGTAATATAAGGAATAATAAGTGTCTTTACCTTACACTCCACCACTAGTACTGATCTCCAATCACAACACACAGTTTGTATTGCACTTTGAGCAGGTGAAGCTCCACTCCACCTTTTCCTTTACTCCCCATTTGGCCATGCTCCAGTACAATCCTGGAGTACCTGAATTGCACGCGATTCTGTCAATTGCAGGTACTTGATGGCTTTCTTCTGTGCCAGGGTTGAAAAGTTGCTGGAGGTTTGCGCACACAGCATTGCGTGACTAGAGCTGGGGATGAAAACACAAAGACATTGTTTTCAGTGATCAAACCCCCTTTATAGTAACTCAACAGCATTCCTGTCTCGCATTCCTAAGCCACCGCTGCTGTGTGAAGGTTTTTTTTTTTCCTTTTGAGAAAAGAAGAAAGAAAAGAAAAGGAAGGTTACACATTTATATCTGGTTCACTGTGTTGACCTTGCTTCTTGCACAAAAGTCAATCTGCTCCCTTAGCTCATTAATCATTAATCAAGGCTGAATTAAAGTATTAGCAAAGGTAATTATCTCATAGAAGTAATTAAGAGGTAATTATCTCTTATCTAAAACAATGTGGTGAACAATAGAGCCAGCAGTTCCTCCTCCTTTTATGCTTAGCAATGACTCAGCCTTTCAAGAAATAAAAAGGCATTATTTCTCAATGTGTGTATGTGCATAATGCATGCGTGTCTGCAGGCTTGCCCGTGTGTGTGCACGGGCCTGCAAGTGTTTGCCCACTTTGTGCATCCTCCTCCTTCATGTCTCCACTCATGCCAGTGTGTGTACGTAGGTATGTGCTAATGTGCACACAAATGTTTTCCAGATTGGTGTGACAAGGATAATCATATCCAGAGAGCCAAAACCATTCTGAATGCTGCTCACACAAATGGGAGAGAAAAAGGGGGGAAGCTTCAGACAAATCCAGGGGAAACAAAGCTGACTGAGTGAGGAGAAGATTTACATATTTTTTTAAGGAGGGTAAACAAATTGCTTAGCATACATATCAAGATGCAAAACTGTAAAATGTATGGTGCAGGAATACAAACACACACGTGGAGATTTACCATTTACCAAGACCCATAAAAGTGGCACAGTGATCACCTGGTGGTGGTGAAACCAATCTAATATTTACTGACCTCTACGACTTCTGCCTTCAACATGCAAAACATAGAGAGGAGGACAATGGAGTCAGTCATATCTCCAGTGTGTGCTCTGAGAGTGATTAAGACTAGAGGACATTCATTACTGGCCCAGCTCAGACAGAGAGGGGCTTCAGAGCAGAGCTCTTGTGTTGGACTGTTTGGATGTCCTATCCCCTTGTATCTCTTTGACTACCTCCAACACAAGGCTCCATTCAACCAGACTGGGAACAAATGTTTCCTTATGTGGCTCTGAGTGCCCGAGCTCCAGCGACAGGATAGAGAGCAAGAGTCTATGAGACTGAAAGACTGGGAAGGTTACAATAATGCAGGCCATACCGTTGCTATTTAAGTACCCAGCCCCATCTTATACTATGATGTGAGCTGCGTTATTAGGTGGTGGTGGGGGGGGGGGGCAATGATGTCATGGAAACCAAGGGGGAGATGACAAATGACAAGTATTTCCCAATAACAGCATTCCCTTTCACTGGCATCTCCCCCACCACAGGCTCACTAGTCCACCACACTTGGTTTCCCTCCGCGTTTTCCCACTGTCCCACTTTTCATGGGTGTTATTATTTCTACTTCCACCTGGGAATTAATTTGGTAAATATCAGCCAGGAAACCTGAGGTTGGATTCCATGTTGGCAGCTCGTGTTATTTCATGTACGGCCAATATGCCGACTTCCGTCAGCTTTTGGACTCGCCATGGGAACGGGCGAAGTGAAGCTAAACAGGGGTCACGGGAAGGTTTCAGAGTGACGTGGGTGATGATTAGTCATGTGAAAACTGGTTAAAAAAATGGCTTGTGCCTGCTCTCTATAACAAGACATAATGTGGCGTGTACCTCTTTTCTATAGAATCACCCAGGATAAAGAGCTAATCCTCTTGTGCTATGAGACTGATAGGGCTGGAGTCCTTCCAGCACCTCAGGGAGTCAGATCTATGGAAGGGAGGTTATTTCAAAGGAAACCATGTAATCAATGACCCCCGCTCCCACAATGTTATTCTTAAAACACGATTGGTGCTTACCGTAACGTTTTTTTGGATATTATTCTGAGCTCCCGTCATCTCCCTTTATCCCTCGCTCCCTTCAGGCCCTTTCCCCCACTCTCCCTGCATTAGGGTGTCAAACTGCAACGGGGGTTCTGATGTTTACTTTGACATGTTTTCCCACTTAAGGAGACATTAAATTATGTGCATGACTCATTCCTCCTTCCTCCCTAATGCACACTCTTACACTGGGCAGAGAAGGGAATTTCTTTGGACAAACACACTCTTCCTGGAGCCTTACCACAGCGTGACCATGAGAATTCTTTAACGTGCAGGTGCCTCAGTTCATTGGGTTTCTGTGTAAAAGAGCACACCTTGTAAACATCAAATGTAAAGCACGGATTATCAACAGAAGTGTTAGCAGCTGTACATGTTGGAATCCGAATTCTGTCCGTATAAATGAGTGTAATTTTTTTTTTTTTTTAGAAAAAGGGGTCATAGATTTCCCCTTTATGTAAATCCCCAAAGGGCAAATATTAATATATATATATTAATATATATATATATATATATTAATATATATATAATATATATATATATAATTATTATATTAAATATATTAATTAGGAAAAAGGGAAGGTCAGGCTAAGGGTTCAAATAAAAGGTCTACTATGAGGAATAAAATTAGTATCTGTAATCAGCACATAGGTATATGTAAGCTTCTAGGTGTGTGTGTGTGTGTGTGTGTGTGTGTGTGATTTTAGTGGCAGGCTGTGTGTAAGCAGCTGGGAGTGTGGCAGGGCTATGCGTGACTAGGAGAAATACACCTGTCTCTGTGCTCAGGTACGGAGGGGGAGCCGGCACGCAGGGGCCTGCCAGTCGAACAATGCTCCCTATTGTACCTGCGCTCTGACTGCAGACACTCACAGGAGAGGAAGCCCTGAGCTCAGTGTGTGTGTAGCTCTCTCTCTCTCTCTTGCTCTCTCTCTCTCTCTCTCCCCCTGCTCACACAATCACACGACATACAGAGTCAAATTATTTATAGTACACATATTGTGGTGACCGCAGGCGCCCCGGGCTAAATCACAATAACTCTGCCTTTTACACGCAAGCTGCCAATCAGAGCTGTGACTGACAGATTTGACTTCCAATCAAAGAGAAGAGACAGAATACTGACAAAAGGACAAAGATTGTGTTTGGTTAAATGCATAACTCTCTTGAAAACATTTTGCATGCACGTCATTATTATGTTGAATGCAACTTATGTTATTTCATACTCCTCATTAAATGGGTGTTAAAACACATGTTAAAATGTAGAAACACATTTCTATATAAAGAGACGGTGTCTGCATTTAAAAGTTTGTCATGATTAATAATATTGCTCTACAGCATATAAATAAGATAATAAGATAAATGAGAGGTGTTACTGTAAAGGTGTATAATAATAGATAGCATAAGACTTTCAATATAAACCCCTTGTGTGACTATTGTTAAGTTATCTATCATCAGCACAAGATTTTCCAGGCTTTTTGTTCTCGGTACAGATAAGGCAACCTTGAGATGGAGAGCCAAGATACTGTAAATATAGAGACAGCAGGAGACAGACAGTCACAGACTCAGAGAGAAAGAAAGAAAGAAAGAAAGAAAGAAAGAAAGAAAGAAAGAGAGAGGTCGCCTGTCAGTAAATCACTGGGGCTCTCTGTGGTTTCCACAACAAAGGCTGACT